GGGGGGGGAGAGGGGGAGGGAAATAAATCAATTACTTGGCTCGTTCCAGCGCCATCTCTGCTTCAAATTTTTCCCTCCATGCTAAAAACGTGTCAAGGGTGACAGGTTCTCCATGTGGTACAATGATCTGCGAGTTCAGAGAAGAAGAATGTAAATGAATTCATTCAAGTAAGAATTTTATTCATTTAGAGATTCGTACATCTTCTTTCGCCCTTTCTTCTGCTTCAGCAATCTCAAGGCTACTTTCTTGACCAAATCGCTCAGATAGCCACTCTTTAGATGATGTCACAAGTGTGTAGACCATAGCCATACCAAGATTTTCAGATGCCTGTCCAAACAGACTACATGTAAATGTCAGATCTAACACATTATCAAATAAATATATACCAATATTTCGCATCATCCGAATAGTTAGGTTATGAATCATGAGTAACACAATTTGGGTGGGTGGGTGGGGGGGCTGTTAGGAACTTGCTGCTTTATGCTACATTGCCAAGAAATTTAACGTGCCATGTTCGACACGTGTTAGACACTTGGATACTCTTAACACACGTTGAACACATATCGGATACTTACTAGCATATTAGATATGTGTTGAACACTAGTTGTGTCTGATTAATGTAAACCCGATATTTGTTAGACACATATTGAATTTTTGTTAAGTATACTAAATAGACAAACTTTCATTGAAAAAAATCAAACTTTCATTGGAAAAAAGGAAAGAATACCTCTTGCTGAAGCTTTTCTCTCAAAATCTTTAGATCTTCTACCGGGATTCCTCTGATACTGAGAAAAAAAAGCAATAAAGCCAGAAATCGAGTAAAGAGCTAACCGTATTCTAGTATATGTTATATATATAACTTCGAGTGACTTAGTCAGTAAATCATGCAGTGGAGGATTTTGAGAAATGCGCGCTATCTGTACTAAAGAAGAAAGTATTTTTTAAACCAAATAACTTAATATGCCGTCTGAATGAGTTATGAAATCAAGATTCATGAGCTAACTAGGCAACTTAGATGAAAATTTTCTGTTTATTTTAAATTATTTACATGGATAGTATAATTATACAACCTTTTCACATTCAAAAGTGGAGGTTCATCAGGATATTTCTCTGTATGCGAGAAAATCAAACCCAGCTGAACTGCACAGAAGAAAATAGTTAGGACAGTAAGAAAATAATTAACCTCCTCTAGGTGTATCTAATAGCAAGGAAACTTAAGTAAGAATAACCTGGCATAGTTGTTGATTCATCTGTCTCATCCTCCTATTAAAAAAGACAAAGGTAATAAACGTAAGACCTTCCCAATTTGCAACGAGGGAGGTATAACTATAGGAAGTAAAGATATTAGACAGTACACCAAGATATAGCTTGGTAAACAACGTTGTCGAAAAGTTGTGTAGGCTTGTGTCTTTTCTGCAAATATTCTTTGATTTCTTTCTTTTCACATATTCCAAAAGAAAGTCATGATGAGATTTTTCCATAATAGGGCTTTTGCATTCTTGAAAGGGCGGTATGTTAAGGCCATATCCAAAAATTCCTTTACCTCCCTAGGAAATGTGAGATGCCATTTGAATATATTGAGAATCGTTGTCCAGAAATTTTGAGCGTATGTGCATTGCATAAACAAGTGGCTTTGTGATTCGTTTTCTTTCTTGTATAATGGACACCAATTTGGAGAAAGAGTGATGTAAGACATTCTTTTTTGAAGATTTTCACTTGTGTTAATGGCTTTATGCGCTATTTTCCAAAGGAAGAACTTCACCTTTTTAGGCTGATGTCCTTTCCATATTGTCTTTGCTAGCGTGGGATTTATTGGTTCTACTTTTTCCCCCCATTTCCATCCTCAAGGATTTTGTAGAAAAGAGACCCCATCAGCGCCGGGGAGCCAATCAGTGAGTTTGCTTTGTTTGACAATACCACACGAGCAAGGTCAAGGCTTAATTCGGAAGGGCCATTATAAAAGATTCACCATAATATTTAAAATTTTGCTGTAAGAACTGCTTCAAGGAATTCAAAATGCTCATTTCAAAGGTTCGAGTTTGAATTAAATCTTAAACTGAATCCACTTATCATAAGTACTTAGTAGGATGCTTACCATGCACCAAAAGTAGAACAGGTGGAAAACAGAGACCACGTACCTGTGGAGATAGTGTTATCAGAAAGCATCTACCAGAAGTGTTAAGGCCACTCTCACTTGAGTGAATTTCTGATATGGAATACAGATAAAAAAGGGTATCTGACATGTTAGAAGGAAGAAAAGGTAGCAAAAAACTTAGAAGTTTAAAAGAAAAATGTGCCACAAACCTTTGAACTCATCCATAAGTATAGCTTCCAATGCGTCAATTTCCATCTCCTGCTCCTGTGCATAGTCTACAAGCCGAATAGAAGGCAAATAGATGAACTTAATGGGGGACATAATGAAAAATTCCGACAAAATATAATCCACTATATAAGCTGCGCGCACATACATATCAATTCAGTAGATATTGTGTAATACTCGAGCTCGACAAGTATGAAATTTGAGATAAGGTAGGAGAGAAAAATGCTTATAAAAATCTCGGGAACTTGAGAAAAATTTAAAGAAAGTTGTGAAAAAAATAGAAAAAATGGTCGACGGGATAAAACGGTATTTTCTGCTCCTCACTATTTAAAGGGGTATGTATTTATCCTAATGTAGACTTAATTGAGAGGGAAGGAAGAAAAGAGAGAAAAAAAGGGAAAAAAGGAGAGAAGGTTGAAGTTCTTGGAGAAAAAGTGTAGGAAAACCATCTTCAACTTTCAAATTCAGCATGTTTGAAGCATTTTTTGGCCGAGTATCCTTCATGGAAGTTGCTCGAAATGATGTTCTCTGCAGTTCTAGGCTTATGAATCACCAAAATCAGTCAAAAATTGAGGCAGAACGGGATGTATAATTTATGGGTTCAAGAATATCATTTTTATGTATATTCGAGCGTTTAGACGTTGGAATACTTCTGAAAATTGTTCATTCTGTTTTAGGAGATTATTTGAACAAACCATGACAAGGAAGCTGGGAGAGAAGACACTTGTAGATTTATTTTCAATTTAGGGTTTAGGGTTCATGGGTAGGCATGTTCATAAGCGATCAAACTTGCGTTGTCTAACTAAGAAAATTCAAAGCTCCTAGCAAGCTCAAGAAGACACGCTTCACCCATGTAAGTAGCCGTTTTGGAGTTTCTCAAATAACACTTATAGGAATGACAATGGCATGTTAGTATGCGAGCATACCTTGCCTCAGGTGTTTAGAATATGCATGATTAGGACTTAATGAGGACAATTTTGGATGAGAATACATTGTATGTTATGAAAAATTACGAAAATGTCTCTAGAATGAGATTTCTATGATGTATGTTATTTTAGTGTTTTCCGTTGTGCAAGAAAGAAGGATGAGATATTGTGATTTTTGCTCCTCGTTGAGCTTGCAAGAATATTTAGATAATATATTTCGTGCTTTAGGTGATCATTAGGATTATCTCCCTAACCAAGCGTGCATAAAAATGTAGGATAGCCTCAAGTGATTGATTGAGTGTTCTCCATGTAGGGCATAGTTACATGCATTGAGTTAAGATTATGGTGCTAAAGTTAGGTTGGTTAAACGATGACCTAGGACAGGACACCTCCAATAAACCAAGCACTTCAGATTGTGAGCGGCGATTGGGGGTCTAAACCCTAGTGCTCCCAAACCAAGAAAACTCAAGGAGTTAGTACAGAGAGTCTTGGAGTAGGGAGTTCACGTTTTAAGCTGTCTAGACGCTCTAAGAACCTAGTAAACCTCGATTACCATGAATGACTAAGGTAGCTCTTCAAGCTACTAGCAATGTGAACAGTGTCATCAAAGTATCTATCACCCTATCCACTCCAGTACCCCAATGAGGTTATTAGCGATCTACATTGGATCCAATAGCACCCTGACAAATGGTAGGTCCATAGGAGCAGTATCGTCTAGATAGGCCTAGGTCAGTTCGGGTAGTGCGTTGAGACAACTAGGTGGCACTATCGTACGAGGAAATGGCCAGGGGTCTCCTGAACAGAGCCTCTGTGTTGTAAACCCATCCAGAGAGGGGGCAAGGGACCATACAGGTAGGCATAGTAGCTGACCAACACATGAAAGTTGCTTCCCCCATAATTAGAATGACTCTAGTAGGTGTCATACTGTCCTACCAGATTTTATTTAGGTAGAGCCTCAACCTAGGATGCTGGTCATTCACTATCTAGGCAAAACAAGGTACCTCAATCTAAGTAAGAAAGGTTGTTCAACCTGCACAAACCCCAAATGATAAGAATGAAACAAGAAAACCACTCAAAACTTCAACGCCTCTCCAGAGGCTCAGATAACTATAGAGATTATAACCAAACTTCCTAGAGCCTAGAGAAAAACCCATGATAATCTATTAGGATAAGGATGCGATGAGAGCCTACAAGTACATTAAATACATAGAAACTGTTCTGTAAAGACCTCCAAATTCAGCTTCTGCTGGTGATCATAGGAAAGTGCAATACATGCTAATAAAGCAAAATATATAGGCACTGAGCTACAATGTATATGCTGGTGATCATCATAGTGACTTCTAGACTTCTCTCGCCCAGCCCATTTCGTAAGACAGTTCCACTAAGTCTATCAACCATGACAGAAAAGTTCAAAAACAAAAGGAAAGAGAAACTTCTTTCATGAAGCCAGCATCAAAGAACTTTCACAATTTGAAGAAAATGCCATCTGCAGCTAATGGAAATCACTAACTTACCCACACAGCAGAATACTAATACTAGCCAGATGAGTAAATATAGCTAAAACCCATTAGACATGTTCATATGATCAAGTGAAAAATACTACCAGAAGTCGAAAATTAAGCATCGATGAGAAGAAAAGATTTCCAAACTTCCTTAACATTAAGGTGAATTCAATGAAAGTAACCGGATAAGGAAAATTGCGCACCAGTCATGGCTGCTGTAATTGGATTCAACGTACTCCTCTTCCTGGCGTCGCTATGATGCAATGACTGTCACTGTGCTAATGAAGAACGACAAATTACTACTCAAACACACAAGTATAAGGAAGCCCTTTAACTCTTTCCCTGAAGGAAAGTAAAGAAAACCAAATAATGGATTGAGAGGGAAATTATTGGGAATCGTTTCGTGTTTGAGGGGGAAAAGGCCGGAAGAAAAATGGAAAATAAACTAAAAACACCCTTGTTGCCCTTGTTTTTATTTAACCCTTTTCTTATTAGGAATTTAAAAGAAAAAAAAAAAAAAAAAAAAGGAATTATTTACTCACCACTCTTTATCGCTCTTCACAGAAACCCCCTCTCTTCGCCCACCAAAAGGTTGGTTTTTGATCCGTGCTCCCATCTCTCTTACGCCTGGCTTAGACACCCTTCACACCACATACAAGCTTCTTCAAAGAAAACCCCATAAACATAGGATATCAACAGAAAAATCATATAAAGAACACCGAAATATTTCGTTGTAATGTTGAAAAAGAGTCCTAAATTTTGAGTTCGTTGTAGATCTTTGTTTTTCCCTTAAACCCTTTAATCCTCATCTTCCAACTGCTCTTCCCTTTTCTTTGAAGCTTAAATTTCGGATGGTTTCTATCTGGCGCATGCAAGTATGCATTTCTCTTTAATCTCGTTACTGCCAGGGGTTGTTTTGTGTTAGTGTTGTATGCATTTCTCAGTGAGAGGGAGGTTTTTGACGGTTTTAATTACTGTTGATTGGGCTTCAAGATGAACAGCTAAGGGTTCATTCGAGGAATTTTCCCCTGGTTTTTGGGTTCTGGGGGTTTTGAAGATGGGGAGTTCTAGCGAGGCCAAGGGTATCGATTCATCGGTTGGAGGGTTGGTTTGGGTCCGCCGCCGAAATGGGTCGTGGTGGCCGGGCAAGATTTTGGGCCTCGATGAATTGTCGGAGAGTTGTTTGGTTTCTCCGAGATCCGGTACGCCGGTGAAACTTCTTGGTCGCGAAGACGCAAGCATGTAATTGCTTCTTGTTATTTGTTCACTGTTCTTCACTGATTTGGTTTCTGTGGATTGCATTTGCAATTCTTTTGCGTTTACTGGTTAACCCTTCGTGTTCTGCAAGGTTGTGCATTATGTTTAATATCTGTGTGGTTCTTACTTGGCTGTTCTTTGAAGTAAATCGTTGACATTTGTGATTGTTAACAATGATAGCATAAATGCTTGTCAGAGACATATAGCTATTGATTTGGTCTCTTTAAAGCATGTTTTTTCCTTGCAGTTGCGTCGGCCTCTTCGTTTTATACTGGTTTTCCCCTGTTCTCTATGTTTTCGAGTTTTAGCACCTTGTTTCGTTTCTGTATGAGGTTTTTTTTTTCTTTTGTGACACTGTTCTTACTCTTGTTGGTTTAGTGACTGGTACAATCTTGAGAAATCTAAGAGGGTGAAGGCATTCCGATGTGGAGAATACGATGAATGCATTGAGAAGGCAAAGGCTTCGGCAGCGAACTCGTGTAAGAAGGCTGTGAAATATGCCCGGAGGGAAGATGCGATTCTACATGCTCTTGAGCTTGAGAGTGCCCTTCTAGGCAAGGATCAGTTGGACTTCAGCTATAGGACTCAGAAAAATGAATCAGATGGCGAGCATGACGTCCTAGCCAGTGAATCTCCTCCTGTATCTGATTCTTGTGAAGAAGAAGAAGAAGAAGAAGAAGAGGAAGAAAACGAAGAAGAGGAAGAGGAAGAAGCCATCGTGACTGATGATGTGAGTAATTCTGAAGATGCTTGTCCAAAAAAGAGTAATTCTGAAGTGAACTCCGATTCTGCCCCTGAAATGTCTCATTCAGATATCCCTTCGGAAGAACTTAATCACGCCAGTTCCTCGAAGGTGCTATCTGAACATAGGAGGAGAACACCAAATGATTCAGAGGACGATGGAACGGAGGGTGTTAAGCGTATGAGAGGACTTGAAGATTTGGTTATGGGTTCATTGGCAAATGGGAAGTCTCATGCTGTAGAGCAGCCTGAAATAGTTCAACAAGAGGATACTTCTCGTTGTGATGCGAATACTGGGAATTGTATAACTAATCGAAATCCCCCGAAGATTATTCATATGTATTCATCATCATTGCGACGTAAGAGATCGCCAGTAGCAACTGTACAGGAATTCTTGAAAAAGAAAAACCGCCGTCGGCCATTGACGAAGGTTTTGGAGAGCACAGCAATGGTATCGGTT